GGAGTTGAAGGATTTCTCAAAACTACATAGTTACCCTCCGCCCATGACGATTGAAGAGATGAATTCCAATGAAAAAACAGAAAAACCATTTGTTTCATATGCTAGCTATTTGTTGCCTGAAGAAGACGAACAATGGGAAGATGATATTTCGAAGAATCCTACTGGATCGTTAACAAAAATAATGGCACCCTTTGCAAAAAGGTCGTTCTCAACTCCACAATCCACATCTCCTCTAAGCAATCTGATTAAGTCTGCTGAAAGTAAAACAAGTCAAAACCCTATTTTCAAGGTAGAAATAGAATGCTCCCCGAATACACCTATAGAAACGGTTATTGATGACATCGGGCGTTCGTTAAATAGTGCGGCTTACCTACTTGATATAGAAAGGATCAAACAGGGAGATTTTGTGTTGCACGAGGATACATTGGAATGGGAGGATTGTACTGATTTCGATAATATTTACGATTCCATGAATGATTGGATCAGGAAGGCTAGAAAACGAGAACTGGAGCGACAATTGAGATGAATGTAAATGACTGTCAAGTTGTAGAGAAATTCTATTGTACGTTTTATCTCAAGGTTACACTACAAAGAGAGCTGATAGGACTTTTTTACCAGGATTGATGAGTTGCCATTTCCAATTATAAACAGAAAATTTCTCGACTAGGCTTTTTATTTTGAGCCCATTCCAGAATTGTAATCCAATACTTTATGTACTGTATATACTAAGATTGTTTACTGCTAATGCGTATCATGAATTATAAAATTTTGAAATACTGTACACTCGAAAAAGTTTGTTATTGATAAATGTCTTTTAATATAATATTAAAACATTATATCTACTAGTTTTAATTAATTTTTCTCACTGATTCTAAACAGAAGTTTGTAGTTTTCTCTGGTAACATGACTAACAACATGGATAATAACTATTAGCAAAATAAAAAAATTCCCTTATTTACTTGTTATTTTCCAATTTTTTATAAGATATTAAAACTTTATACAGTCAAATCCAATTGTAACAAACTTCTTTGTAATGAATTTTGGATATAGTGGGCTTATATTTTTAAATTTAATATGTATAATAAAAAAGTATAATAATTTTTATATGAGACATGATAATTTTATATAAAAACTTTTTTTTTAATATACAAAATTCATAGATTTGTTATAAAAAAATTTAATTCATATAATTAATTAATTATTAAATTATTGTTACTTTTTTTTTTTTATAGAATAAATAGTTTCTTGTATACAAGAATTTTTTATTTAAATAAAAATATGTGTATAATTATTATATCAAGAATTTGTTATATAGTATAAATAATAGTTATTCTATTATATTTGATAATAATAATAAAAGAATATTTTAGCAAAAGTAATGTAAAATAATTAATATTATTTTATTCTTTAAAAAAAAAAATTAATTTAATATATGAAAATTCAATGTAAAAAAAAAACTAAATTACTAGTATATAAAAATATAATTTAATAATATATACAGTGTGGACAAAAATAATTGCACTGATATTTTTTATTATAATTTAATAAATAATAATTTAATTGAGATAAAACTTTAAATACATATATTTTACAACCTAATTAATAAAATATTAAAGTTTTATTGATGTTCAATTAATAAATTTATTTGAAAATATTGATTTAAAGTCATAAAAAATTTTTTTCAAAAAATATATTATAAATTTTATATATGAATTTATATATAAAATATAGATGGAAATTAAAATTTAACTATAGAAAATTTTTTTAAAAAATTAAATATAAAAATAAATAAAAATTTTAAAATTATAAAAAAATTATTTTTTTTTTCCACTGCAAACAAGCATTAAATGCGAGACATTTATTAAACATAAGTTTATCGTCATTACATTAAGAATCCTACACCACCTTATTTGGTAAGAGTTAATCCTAGCTTATCACATGAAAAAATCTTTAATTCGTGAGAACATCAAGTAGGTATAACAAACTATCAGTGGTTCATAAATAGTTAATGCTTATTCATAAACAGTTAAGTTAATGCGGGTGGGAATATTTTTTTTAGTAGTATAGAAGATTTTCAGGAATTTAATCTTGATTTGATAAATTTTTGTTAAGTCTTTGTATGATATTGTTGTTGTTGTCATTCCTAACAGGTTAATACCAGTTTGGTTCTTGTTGGATTGGAGTGTCAGAATTGGATTGGCCGTTGGGATTGTGTAGATCGTTTGGAGGGGTTGAGC